GGGGTCCTCTTGCTAACTCAATATTTGAACAGTAGAAGCAATGCATGAATTGGGGGACATTGCTTGCAACTACCAAGCCTTGTATTGTTAGGTTGTAGACATTATTAACATCTAAATGATCTCAGTAGGTCATTATTGAAAGTAAAAACATTTGAAATAATTTGTGTAGAAGTATGGAGTGTCAACTAGGGTTTTCATCACAGAAGATAATTGTCCTATAGAACATCTACTATAAAGACATGTGTTGGTAGTGTAGATTGAGAAAACTACATTTATAATATGTCTGTGAAGGTTCTCATTCATCCAGGTCATGGTATAGCTGTAAAAAATAAGTCGAGGCAACTGAACTTGCTGTATTTTTCTTGAAGCTTCAAGTTCAAGAAAAATAAAGCAAGTCCAGTTGCCTTGACTTATCTTTTACAGATATGCATTTATAATGTATCCCTCTATTCCACGATGGGAATATCACTATAGATCCGGTAGGGTATGTTAGGACTTTTAGCTCTCCAGTGGCTAGAGGGCAGCAAGGTGCCTATGCCTGTTTATAAGTTTTGTTGTGACATACACAACAGTCTACAATAAACTAGAGCATTTATGCAATCTAAGTTCCATATGCTTGAGGGTGTTTTCCTTTAAGTCATCAGTCATTTTCCACATGATTCTTTTGTATAGAAGTGATGTCCATGACACGTAACGTGCCAACACTACACACCTTTTGTCAGTAATGTTTTTTCTTCGCCTAGAAGGAATGTTAGAAATGGAGGCTGCACACATGATATATACATCTCCCTGAGGGAAATTTATACTGTACATACATAAAATACTGCTGCACTATAAATCTTTAGTTCACATGTAGATTTTGTGATTACCCTTAAAACACCACACACGCATGTTAAATAGAGCTATTCAAAAAGAGTATTTGAAATTGCATGAATTATGGATAGCTGACTCTCAAATATTTATGATAATGGTTTATGTGCTACATTTTTTACTTAAGAGGTGCATTTTTTATGTGGTAGAACACAAGACTCTGTTTGGCTTTCCAATTAAAACTTTGTTCCTACACTTTTAGATTTACAGGTACACTAAACCTAAGGTTTTTTTATATTTCACTGTTGTAGATCTTGCTAACATTGCCTTTCCTCTTTCATCTTGTCATACTGATCAATGTAATTGCACAGGTGTCAGGTACACTGGCTTAAAACCCAATTCAGTGATGTGGAGATAACGAATTCCCAACTTGTACTGAGCCCAAATCACATGTGTAGCTTCTATCTAGCTATGCCATTGTTGTAAATATATGAATATACAGGTGAAACTCGAATAATTAGAATATCGTGCAAAAGTTCATTTATTTCACTAAATCATAAATGTAAAACAATTCAGTGGCAATGCAAATACAACTCTAAAAGGAGAACTATGGGATGAGTGAAATACACTCATCCCCATAGTTAGAGCCGATGTGTTACATTGTAGCTGTCACACGTTGGCTCTATTGATCAAGAACTGAGCAATCACATACCGCTGAGCACTCAGTTCCCAATCTTCTCCCTGCAGAGATTAGTGGCTGCCAGTCATAGCTCCCTGCAGGGACTCCCCCCACCCCTCCCTGTTCCTCCAGCGCTAACTTGAGGAACAGCAAAGGGAGGGGGTGGGCACAGCTGGCTTTGCCTCTAGAGAGCCAGAGTCAGCTGTAAATTAGGCAGCCGGGTGGATCTCGACAATATTGTTGGGATCCTTATTGGCTGCAGTGCAGCTCTGCGCTTTCAGCATATTGTGGGCAATTGCCTGCTATTTGCTGAGTTTTGGGTCACTGGAGGACATTAGTAAATGTCCTTCTGTGATCCTAAAGAGAACTACGGGCAAAAAAGGTTTGGCCATAGTTCCTTTTTAAGGTCTTCTTCATTCATTTAGACATCTGATCCTGTAGCACAGTCAGGGATAGAGGAGGCTTTGGGACCTTTGGTCTGAGGGACCAAATGCAACCAACTAATTGACATGGTTTTTGGTGATACACCTTTTTGAATCTTTCAACATCACCTTCCTTTTTGGCTCTCAAATTTTATCTCTGAGCTAAAAAGGAATTGCTGGAAGACCGTGTTCACACTTACTGAAGTTCCTGCTCTGATGCTTGTCTGAATGATGAAGTGTCTCCACTTAATACTCCCAGACCATCATATCTTATTAGTACTGCCCCAGTGGTGGCTGGGGGAAATGCTTCCCTGTCCTTCCAGTCCTCCCCAGATTAAACTATTGCATCCGATAACTGGGCTGCATACAGGTTAGCTAGCCAGCAATAAGTATCCAATTCAAACTGAAGTGCTTGTTGTTTTAAAAAGACTTTTCCCAATAAGATGTAAAATCTCTGTATTGTGGGACACCGATTGTTCTTAATACAAAGGTGAAAATGGGACAGATATCACACCATCGCTTAGTGGTCCCATTCAGGAAGATGATTGTTGCAGATTCTGGTGGAGCAAGACAAGGATATATCTTTAAGTGGACATTGGGCATTAAATACATTCTTATTGGTTTATCCATTCTATTTATTCTGATCGATCAGGAATTATTTTTGACCATGAGGAGATTTGTTGGGAATATATTGTCTAAAGAGGCCTCATGTCCCAAAGTATTTCTCACATGGGTACTTTTACACATAAATATGTTGATATGGATGCATGTGTAATTTCACTCATATTGCCCCCAAAGTCTCAACTTTCTAACTTTCCTGTAAAAGTGATTGGTAGGGTGACCTGACATAATGAAAAAGCATTCAGCGACATGACAGTCATCTCCAGTTTCTAAAGCAACAGGATTGGTTAATGATGGAGAACATTCTATGGCTTCCTTTGATGAAAGGAATTCTCATTTTCCGTGCAGATTTAGAACATGCACAAGGCATGTCTTTACTGTTTATATACTGTATGTTACATATATACAGTCAATACATTCATTTTTGTGTTGCACGTTTTACAGATGTAGAACTGGTTATTTGTCTATAACCTATATTTCTTTTCTATTCCTTGTGTGTGTAGCTCTTTATCACAGCCGCTCTCATTGATAGGCGCTGTTCATCAAGGAGAAAATGCTCTGTAAGACCAGTGCAGGAAGACTAATGTTTTGTATTAAGTAACACAGAACCTGCAGTTTAATACATGATACATCAATAATGTTCTTCACGTCTTCCTATGTACATTTCTTATCCCATCACTAGTACATAATTTGAGCCGTGTTTCAGTGAGATAGCAGCTTTGGCCATACTTTGATGGATGCTCTGCGCCGCTCATTCATTTTTTTCCAGGCAGGGATGCAATCCTGGCATATACCCATCTTAGTCCAGACACCATTGATAGAAAAGCCTTGTTAATTTATTTTTTCTCCTCACTGAATTGTTCAGCATTCTGCCTGACATGAATTTACTTTTTATAGAAAATATATTTTCAGCATTAATCATCAACACACTGATGTAAAACATGCCATTGTAAGACTTTTCTGGGGACATTTTGTTGGAGGAAAGAGGGATCATAGCTGACAAAGAACGATATTTATCCAAACAAATACTGCTTTGTTTTCACACATTGAGATTGGGTGCAACATTTCAACGCATCTTTTTCTTGTAAAAGAAGTACTCTGCTTTAATGGTAATGTAGAATGTTTTTTTTTCTTTTCTGTGAATAGCTGATCATGGTTGGAGAAGTCTAAAATATGAGAATTGTCTTCCGCCATTTTATTTTAATAATGTTGACAG